TCAACTGCACCACGTTGAGTGGCGTGGGGTTTTCCTCCCCCAACTCTCTCACTCCATAAATCAGGTTTATATTGTCAAAAACATTATGAAAACATAACTCCAAAGAGATTTCTAAAAATTTATCAAAACATACTAAGTATGTCCGGCAGGAGGGAGAAGTGGAGGGCCACTCTACAACTCTCCCCTCTCCTCCACACCACCCACCACCCCCAATTCAGGCGACTTAATATCAAATCTTACTCTAACCTAATGAATGTAGGTTCTGAAATAAGAAGAGACTCATAGAACGACATGCATTTTAAAGCTACAAATTGAGTATTTAAAATCACTGAATATAGCTTATAAGACAACAAATTTATTAATTTAAGAATGAGGGGCGCAGTGGTAGATACAAGGGTCTACCGGGGGTCTAACGTAGGAACAGATCATTATTTGGTTTTGTGCCGAATTAATGGTCTATTCAGGCGTTGGCGCCATCGGTCATCTGTGTCTACCACTGCGTTACAGCGTATTAGAACAGAAAGGCTACAAGAGGAAGGTGAGAAAAACAAGTTCAAATGTAGACTGAAAGAAAATATAAGTGGTTTGGATGAATTATGTATGAATGAGTTAGACTTGGAGAATGTATGGCAAAATGTTAAGAAAGATTTAGTGGATGCAGCTATCGAAGTATGTGGTGTTAGTAAGAGAAAGAATGAAAGGAAAAATAATACATTATGGTGGGATGATGAGATACGTACGGAAGTTGAAGCAAAGACGAGAGCATGGCTAGATTTACTAGCAACAAAGGCTGGTAATTCTAGCAGTACGAATGATGACTTGAAAGAAAGAATGGATAAGAATGATAGAAGAATATCGGATAACTTCCATGCGAATATTAAAATGTTCTGGAAACTCGTAAGAATTACAGCCTATAATTAATGCTATAAGAGACGAGAATGGATTTATTCTGAATGATGAAGTTTTGAGTTTAAAGAGATGGAAGGAATATTTTGAAAGCGTGTTTATGAGTGAGGAGACAACGTATGAGTTAAGTGAAGTAGAAACTCCGAAAGAAGAGGAAAGAGGTAGCGAGATAAGTATAGATGAAATTATGAAAGCAATGAAAAGCATGAAAGTAGGTAAGGCTGCCGGATATGATAGAGTTTCGTTCGAAATGCTAAGGGCTGGAGAGGAAATGGTGGCAGGCCTGCTGCACACCTTGTTTAATTTATGCTGGGTACTTAAGAGGGTACCGGTAGACTGGTGCAAAGCCGTGATAGTCCCAGTATATAAAGGAAAAGGGTTGCAGCAGGACTGTAAAAACTACCGTGGTATCAGCCTTCTTAGCATTGTGGGAAAACTGTAAGCTAAGGTACTGATTAAAAGGGTCATGAAAGAAACGGATGGGAAAATTTGGGATGTGCAAGCGGGATTTAGAAAGGGAATGGGATGTACAGATCAAGTCTTTTCCATGCGCATGATGATGGAGAAGTTTTTGGCCAAAAACGAAATTTTGTTTTTTGTGCATTCATAGATTTGGAAAAGGCCTATGACAGAGTGAATAGGGATGTGCTATGGCAAACACTGAACTCATTTGGGTTGAGCGTGGGCTTGATACAGGCATTGGAGTCTCTTTATAGGGAATCTAGTGCTTGTGTTAGGATCAATGGGGTCTACTCGGACTGGTTTGGCATCCATAAAGGTGTCAGACAAGGCTGTGTGGCTTCCCCGTGGCTGTTCAACCAATTTATGGACAGTTGTTTGCAATATTTGAAAGTTGAAGAATGCGGATTAAGAATGGGTGAGTTAACTGTCAAATGCCTTTTGTACGCCGATGATCAAGTTATCCTTGCGTCATCGGCGGCCGAGTTGCAAATGATGGTTACATTAATGAACAGATCATTAAAAGAAAGGGGTATGAAAGTGAACGCAAGTAAGACGAAGGTTATGGTTTTTGAAAGAAAGAAAGTAAAACGATTTGTGAAATAAGAATAGAAGGGAAGTTGATCGAGCAATTAGATGAGTTTGTATATTTGGGCTGCGTATTTAGCAGGGATGGGAGATGTGATAAGGATATAGAACGACGAGTGAATGCGAGAAATAGAGTAAATGGGGCCCTGCACTCTATTGTGAAGAGTCAAAATGTGTTGAAAAAGGCACATATGGCAATTCACAATGTTGTGTTGGTCCCTACTTTAACGTATGGTAGTGAAAGTTGGGTGTGGCAGAAGAAGCACAAGAGTAGAATGAACGCAGTAGAAATGCGGTCGTTAAGGAGTATGTTAGGGCTGAATCTGAATGACAGGGTGAGAAATTGTGTGATAAGAGAAGAGTGTGGTTTGCAAGATGATGTTGTGACCAGGATTAAGAAAGGAATGCTTCGGTGGTTTGGTCATGTGGAAAGAATGAATGAGGAAAGAGTGACAAAGAAAATTTATGTTGCAGAAGTGAATGGCAGAGTCGGAAAGGGACGTCCTAGGCGAAAATTTATCGACAAAATTGGCGATTTATTAAAAACGAGCTAAATTAGGAGCACCCTTAACCGACGAGCATGTATGCGTAGGTATATGGATGTGAAGGAGGCGAGAGAGGTGTGTCAGGATCGTGCCAAATGGAAGTCTGTAGTCTCTGCCTACCCCTCTGGGTGACAGGCGTGAGTGTTTATGTATTAATGAGTAAGGTTTCATACCTTACTCATTAATAAATTTGTTATCTTGTAAAACACTAGTTAAATCTTAATAAGCATTACACAGAAGGAAACTTCATGAAATTTTATTTTAACTACTTTATGGTTATAGGTTATGTTGACAATACTCACTTATAAAATGTACAAATATTTTGATATTTTTCAGGCACAGCCATTGCTCGAAGATCATCATTGTTACGAACAGATTGAAAATCACCACAACAAATTAATAAATCTATTTTTATGTTTTCTCTTTCTTGTAAAGTTTCAATACATTCGTATATTTTTTCTAGCTCTCCGTGGGCACATCCTTCTACAGCAATCTTCATGTTAGTTGACTAATTTAGAAGCAAACTTGTGTAAAACGTCTGGAAAATGTTCAAGGAGAAGGAAAAATCATTCTTCAACAACACGAAATGAAATATAAATGACAAAGAGAAAATCGAACCAAGATTCAACAATCAACAAGGACAGGTTTTCAGTTTATACAAAGGTACTCTGTGGGACAGGCATCAAGCTTAGCTGGTACTTCTTATTCTTATTAGTTTGTGCATCGAGCCCACAGAATATAGACATCGGCATCAATCGGCATGTACCCTAACGGGATCAAGCCAAGCTAGCTCCGTCAACCGTCAATGTCAAATTGTATGTCAAATAAAAAAAAATATGTCAAAGTGTCGATGACCCACAGTATTACCGTTCACAAATAATCTAAACTACTAAAATGACTATGAAAATCTACCACGAAAATATTCTACTAAATCCATTGAATTCACCAATCTAATTAAATCATTACAGTTAGTTTGCCGAGGCCTCCCAGAAAGTAATCATAAGATACTTGTGTTGGGAAAGTCTCACTCTTCCTACGTAATCGTATCAACTTAGATTTACATCAAAATATTAAAATTTTAAACTTAATAGTACATTATTCATGCAGTTTAAAATGAAAGAAAGAAGCTTAGGAGAAATGTATACCTGAGTAGTTGAGTCCGTAGTGTGTTAGTTTATGATATGTGTGTGGTGTGTGCGTGCGTGTGTGTGTGTGTGTGTGTGTGTGTGTGTGTGTGTGTGTGTGTGTGTGTGTATGCGCGGGTTTGAGTTGCTGTGTATGTGTGCAAGTTTATGAATGTGTCACATTACCTACTGATTTGTTGTGTCAGTGTGTGTTATTTAAAACTGGTTCATCTCTTTCTGACCAAAATGTCTTCCACATCATCATAATTAAGAGTATAGACTATAGAGCCACTCGGTAAGAGTTTTTTACACTCAAAACATTTGCATTGGGTAAATTTTAAGTACCCGATTGATCTTGTTACCGTGCGTTTGCACTGACGCGATTTTCACGAAAAAACATGTATTAAACACTGTTTTCTGTCAATGTACCAAAAAGCGTTTGCATAGTCACTAAGCATATTGTAGTTAAATATTTGACAGTTTATTGTACACTACATATTATAACTATATTATATCTATATAACCGCAGAAACAAAATGTTTGAAAACAAATATGTAGAAATATTGTCATGTTGAAAGATAAGTTTGACGTTAATTTTGTTTTTGTAGACACTTTTTAATCCAGACAGAGAATTTTCAAATAGGAGTAATAGTGTTCTGTGATTTTCAACAATAATGGATTCAAGTGATGAAGAGGTTTTATTTTTTTAAGTACCTTTACTGCACATTTACAGCAAAAAAAGAAAGAAATCGAGGTTCTGGACGCGCGTGCAATGTGTTTGACAGTGATTCACAGTGGAATACGGGATAGAGACTAAAAACTGTGGTGCATGACGAATAAAGAAAATTAAAGAAAGTGATACATGAGAAAATTCTACCAATTGCGTAATCACATTAAAACATTAAAAGCCAAAATTGTATTAAGTGTTTAGCTAATGAAAATAGAGTAAGAAAATTATCTAAAAAAATAACATCAACATTTGCGCTGTAATTACAAGTTCAAATAGGAAATTGAAAGAAAAAGCTACATGACATATGAAAATCAAAGCCATGTGGGTAGAAGTCAGAATAATCGACCGCAACTCACCTGAAGTCCGGGTAGTAACGTTACTCACCTGATAAGAAAATGTTACTCACAGGAATAATAGGATGCTTTCACATTGAAACAACAAATAGGTATATATTTTTATTTATTGTTAGACTGACACAACTGCTAACATCAATAAATGTATTTTTAACAGGTTCACCACCCAAAACATGCTTTAAAAACTACAACCTACTCAAAACAATTACTTAGGCGGTGAAAATAACAAAACAAAAAAAAGGAACTTTAATATATTTATTACAACTGGTAACTTGAGTGATAATTATGTAATTCTTTAATCAAAATATATATAATAATCGTCGTCAAGAAATACAAAATCAGTCTCATTTTCATTGATCGACATTAATTCTACAGTCTTGACAATATTCTTACAATCTATTAGCTCCACTTCCATTGACTTTGTCCTAATAAATTTTGTATTGTCATTTTTGCCAACTTTTCTTAAAAAAGATATTTTTACCTTGTCATTGACAGGTTTTTCCAAAACTGTGCCTACAAAATATTCCACTCTTTTTTTTAAAAAGTATCTAACCAATACATAATCGTATTTTTTTAAATCAATGGGAACAGTTTCTAAGTTGGAACTTGAAGAGGACTGTGGTTCTAAATTTTGATTCGCCTCTAAAGCAACTGGTTTATTCAAATGCAACATAGTATCTGGGATAAGGCAAGTTTTAGTCTTTTCAATTTTAACTTTAACATTTTTTTTGCAGCCTTTAGATTTTGATTTATTAATATTAAAATCTGTATCTTGCATATCCGGGCTATTTGATTCAGAAGCAACGTCGCAAATATCTGAATCACTGTGGACACTCATAGCGATGTCACTATTGCTTGATTCATCTTCTTCTTTTTTTCTTTTTAACTTCTTATCTTTTCTTTTAATCTCTTTTCTCGTTTTTCGTTTAAGCCGGTCATAGTTTTTAGTGTTAAGTGATGATAAGTGGTGGAGCCACGTGTCTAAGGTTGCCGAAGTCTAGTTCCCCGGTCGAACCTTAAACCTATTACGCGAGATATTAATTTGAATGGACTGTATCTACAAAATGCTTCTACGCTTATATAACGACGAATATAGCGCGCAGTACAATGCACTCGCTCTTCCCTAAAATGAACTATTATTTGCCAAATCGATTAAAGGAATCCTGCTTGATTAGGAAAACACAAAATTGGAGCGGGTTAAAACAATTATATCAAGCAGGCTGTATTATTAGGAAATGTTGACTCACCGGGATGTTCTTCTATGCGGTCGAGCACTATAACTGCGACTTCTGGAACCTCTTGTGGACAGGCACTCTGGAGAGAGGCGGTGCGCGACTATATCTCACACGAGGTGAGGCGGGTTTCCTGGAGCTCGATTGCTTCCAGGCTAAAGCGGTTTCTACTAGTGGTGTGGTTTCAACGACGAGCGCGGCGGGAAGACCTGCGCGTCGGTCGCGCGTGCCTTATATATCCTCGGTTCCGATGATTACGTGACATTCTAGAATCATCTTCTTTCCCCTCCCACCCCACCACCCCGATGTGTCGATAGGAGGGTATGAATGATATCGTTTTGGAAAGGGACAACCGACTTAGCAACTTACCGTCAAATATAAAATAAATACGAATGGTTTTTTTCCGCGCAACCAATAACTTTTCTTTATTTTCATTATTGGTAACAATTTTTGGGGTCATTTTGAGGGCGGAATTATAACTTGCGATATAATCTTGGGTTTTTGTTTTACAGTCGTCAAGACGTTAGTGTTAATATTAAGTGAATTCTGATTTTTTGCCATCAATACAATTTTTGTTCCAGCAGTTTCCCGAAAGATGCAACTACTTGCTTTTGTTTTCGATTGAAAAATTCCACCATCGTCATGTATAATGTCAATGTCATTGGTTGATATTCCATGTGAAACCACGGGAATTTCTGGCAGCACTGCTCCGCGTTCATTCAATTGCCCAGCTTCCTCATTGTTGCGCATCCTTTTACTAACATTGGTTGAACAATTTATCTTGTGGACTATAGTTTTTTTCGGGACGTGAGTTTTCGCGTTGTAGCATTCGCAAATCCCTCTTGGCAAAGATGACTCACAGAAACAACTGACATTGCGGTACCTTAGTGTTTTTGATGGAACATGGTAAGTAATTTGATGTAATCGAGTAGTAAGTGGTACTGGATCCAAGTCATTCGGTAGCTGGTTCTGTGCATCCCGAATATTAATTTCAGAGACTGAAAATATTGTAACAGATGATTCTTCAGTTAAAATAGACACAGCATCTTCGGCACAGCTAACATCATTTCCACATGCCACTTTTTGATCCAGCAGTCTTTTTACAGCACCACCTACTCCATCGGCAGCACCCTTGCCGTGCGCAGCTTCGAAAAACGTCCAGGTTCCAAAAGTTAATTTATACTATATATTGCGTACTTGGACCGTCTGAGAAAAAATGTATGGTATCTATGTCGAGATTGCTTGTTAATAATAATTCAATTATAGGTTCTATGTGGGCTCTGATGGCTCCAGGGTCATGTAAGTTACAGTCGGACAGAGAAGCAAAAGGAACCTTTTTTTTGTTGTAAATATGCCATGCCAGCGTGGATCGTAATTTGGCCCTTTGATGCTCCGAAATGAAGAGCCTGTATCACTTCTCCTAATTTACAGGAATAATTTTCTGAGAAATCTATTATTAGAGCTGCTTCATTGGGTAGTAGGTTATCAATAACTTCTCGATATTTTTGTGCTGATGATTTATATTAAAGAAATGCTGCCGGAATGCACGTAGATCAGCTAAAAACATTTCTGAGTTGAGTTTTGAGAAAGAGTTGAGTTCTGAAAATGTACCCTTAATACTTTCTTTAACATATTTCTTTGTAGTAGTAATTTTTCTTCCTATTCCCTTCTCAAACGTAAATTCCTTTCTAATCCACTGTATCCATGTGCATTCTGTATTGTTTGTAATATCTGTCAAATTCATTTCAGGATTGTTGTCTTTACACTTTTCACAATTTAAATGCATACAGTCGTACGATTCAACGCTGCACACACTCGATGCAAGTAATTCTTGCAAATCGGAAGTACCTATAACGCCAATTTTCTTTAAATGATCAACTTTGAAGGCTAAATTACTGTGCTTTATACGTGCAACGGTATTTCTATCACTCAACTTTGGCCGTACCACATTTCTTGGTCTATTTCTTCTGAAAGTTGAAAATGAGGCTTTTCCTCCTTAGCTTACATATTTTGTGTAAAGTTTCTTCAATGAAGTAAGCAAGAATCGCTTCTGTAATTTATTATTACCTCTACCAACACATTCTTTCTTGCCAGATGTCATTCTAGTGTTATCATCCCTGTTGAAAAAAATACGTATTTCTTTAGCTTCTTTGTATGTCCTTTCCTTTTTTCTTAAATTTTCTTACTCTCCCTTTCAGTCCCAATGATTTCGAAATATCAGTTTTCAGATTATATTTTTCTATTGCTTCGGATGAAACAATGTCTTTTAGGATCTGTTTTGATTTATTGTCATGTTTTTCATATGCTGTCTGTAACGAAGCACTGATCACATTCAGCTGCAGGATCTGTTTTTTAACTTTATTTTTTTCAGGAGTGGATATGGATGGAATATTTTCATTTATAAAGGATAATGTTTTAGACATGGGAGTTTTTTCACGTAAATCTTCATTTTCAGATTTGTCAGTTGTGGTCAGTCCGGATGAGGTAGTTTGTGCATTAATGTCTGTAGGTACAGATTCACTGTTGGTTTTATTCTCTGATGAGTTTATTAAAGATTTGTTTTCCGTTCGTTCTGAATTTGAGATCAATTTGCACAGCTCTTCAATTTTAATTTTATGTCTATATAGGTTTTTTTGTAAAGCATGTTCCTTCAGCAATATATTATCTATAACTTTCTTTTGATCTGTTATTCGCTTCTTCAATTTTTCACATATTCGTGCATTTAATGCACAACACTTGTTGTTCTTTGGTTTTGTTACACCACCTTCTTTTTGTTTTTTTTGGCAAGTCTCCATTCTCGTCGCTTTTTTTCTTTTTCTTTTTCAGTCAGTTCTGCAATTGGTCTTCTAGCAGCTTTCATGTATTCTCTATGCTTCTTCTTTTTCTCCTCGTATTTTTCTGCATTTTGTTTTATTTTTTCACGGTATTTTCTTTGTCTCTCAGCATTCGACATTGGCGCCATCTAAAAGTAAGCATGTAAAGTCAATTAGTTTTAATTTATGCACAAATACTTCCAAAAAGTCCAATCCATGAAATATTAAAATAATAATAATAGATTATTCCAGAAATAGATGCCAGTATATTTCATGCATATATATAAATATATAAAAAAATAAACAAAAACCGACAGAGTTTTTCTTGTTTTTATATAAAAATATAAATTCTAAAATTCCTCCTTTTTTTGAAGTCGGTTAAAAATACGAACAAAACAAAGCGGTTCGGAAGATGAATGAGGTTTTCGTTCGGAGTGAGCAACTCGTTATTGATTGCAGGTGCAGTTACTATACAAACTGATTCGTTTTACCAAGTGTTACTCACAAATCTATAAAATCCTGTGAGTAACAATTAGCAGTATGAACTAGCCCTAAGTCGTGTTACGTTATCCACAGGAAGGAAAAATATGGATTATAACCTCTAAAATGCATCGTCAAACAACAAATATCTTACCTTGAAAACAATGTCTCTGTGTTGTATGAGCACCAAAACATACTATTTCAGACTGTGTATCCAGACCCGCGTAATTCATTTTAGAATTTATCTCACTCACTAGTTTTTCACAGGAATATTTTGGACAATTTTTTCTGTGCGCGCACTTTTTCAACCAAAACTTAATGAAGTGACAACATGGCGTTATCAAAAGTCACGAGATGTGAGTAACAGTGTTGCTAGCATAAAATATAATTGCGATATGGTAGAATTTCTTTTCGGGAGCGTTTAAAACACCGTTATCTACCTGGACTGGAGTTATTCACAGGAATGATATTTGGGATTTTATTATAAACAGTAATTAAATAATTATAGACATAATAAATTAACGATTACATGAATGAAAACAATAATTAAGTCACCGGTTTTTACTTAACAGTATATAATATTGCAAAAATTTAGTATTGATTATTTTATAATGTGTAAATCATTACGCAATAGGACACTTTCATTTTGTATGGACGTGAAATTAGTGACTTTAGTTTGCTGATATTTTTTTCGGTATAGTTATATTCTAAACATAACTAAAATGGCTTGTTTTCCTGTAAATTAATTGTCCTTTAAAACAAAATTGGTTATAACTTGTTATGACCCGAACTAATCTTTATATAAGCTGAAAACGGTCGAGGACGCATATTTTTTTAAATCATGTACGATTATTTTGACCTCTACCCATGTGGCTTTATAAAAGGTCACCCACCTGTTACAGGCTACTCAGGCTCTATTAAAGGGTTAACTGAGTACTCTTTGCTGTAGGAATCAATCGACCAGTTATTAAGGCCTGGCAGATTTTTTAAATTAAATACTATAAAACCATCAGACAATTAATTTATATTGATATTTGATGAAATGTCTTTAAAAAATGTGATGTATAAACCAAAAGAAGATTTGATTGAAGTGTATTAGGATCATAGTACACTACATCTTCAGTCATTGCATCATATGCATTAGTATTTATGATTGTTAGTACTAGGAAGTAGGCATGTCGATCTTAAATCGATTAATCGAAAAATCGATTCTTTGGCGTAAAATAATCGATCTTTTAGATCGTTTCCAAGCACCGCATCGATTCGCGGAATCGATCCAAAAACCTCTCGAATCGGACCGATTCATCTGATTCAAGGACTAGCGATAAAATTCCCAAACTGGCTGGGGTCAGATACCGCAGTTTTTTAATTTTTTGCTGTTGAGGGACGCAAAAACAACCGGTCGTACTTGGTTGATAATTTGAGCTCAATATATATTTGAATAAAATAAATATTTATGAACGCATCCAACAATATCGAAAAGTTGTCATTTCATTTTCATTTCTAAAATTCTAATTCTAATCTTACCTGTGGAATGTTGTTCTAACTTAATCTGTACTGTGAACAAAGACTACATATACATACTACAATATAATATTATAGCTGTGAACCTGTTTGAACTGTGAACTTGTGAATTTACTTTATTAATTATCAAAAACATACATACCGTGAGCTGTAAGTACAGACAGAGTACTTTTTAAATACCTAGATACTGTAAATAAATATTATATGTTGAAGTTTATAGAGGTTTATAGTAAGGAAATAACCAGTATTGTGTTCGTGTAGCATTCACTTCAATTTGATAAATAGTGAGTTATTAGTTTGAAACAGATTTATCGAGAAATGCACGTTGCTGTTTGAACTTTTGTTAAAGTATTGTTGTTGTTTCTAGCCTAAAATGTCAAATAAAAGTGATACATGGAATCACTTTGTAAAAAAAAAAGGATCGAGTGGCTTATGTGCGAACCATTACTAACAACAAGCGTTTCAAGCATACCAGGAGTGGTTAAAAGGAATATTAATAATTTTAATTAATAAGATTACTAATATTTTATTTAAAAAAAATATTAAAGTTCAATTAAATAAAAAAATCGCAAATTCTTGAAATTTCATGTTTGAAAATGTCGCGATTAATCGAAAATCGATCTTTTAATCTTCGATTTAATCGATAATCGATTCTGGTGTTTTCGATTCAAATCGATTCTGGTGTTTTCGATTCAAATCGATTCAGAGATCGATTTTTTTAAGAGTGAATCGACATGCCTACTAGGAAGACTGAAACAGCCCATTGCCCACTATTTCTCCAATGCATTTTTAACTGCAAATCAACTTACTGTACTAATAAAAGAGGTACCTAATTATTAGTACTTTGTATGATGTTTCATTTTATTTCAACAGTTGAAATTAAAGTTGATTATAAAAGCTCAACGGTTGTAAAACATATTTAATTTTTGATTTCAGGTCTTGAATCAGTCATAGCTGCCATAACTTCCAGGCTCTCAGGCTGGGATGAATATATCTGCAACAGTGTGTGACATGGACGGAGTAAATTTATAAGTTCTCTCTATCTTGGGTGCAAATGTGCAACGACTATATTTTGCATTCCATAACAAAGAGATAGTGACCCTTTGATACGCCATATTTATGACATAAGGGATCTTGCAATGGGGTTAATGCATTTCACATTGAAATAACTTAGTTTTGTAGAAGAGAGCCATGAGAGCACTTTACAACCAAGTTCGAAGGAGTCTTTTCAAGAAAGTTTTTTAGAAGTAAATATATTAACTATAGCGTTTTAGTGATTTTACGAAAATTTAATGTATGTTTTTTTATTAATTTTTGTTTTTTGTTTTTGTTAATTTAATGTACACAAAAGCAACAATAGTTTTTATTAAAAATAGTAATGTATATTCTGTAAATACTAGGAACAAGTACCTACAAGCTAGTTATATCAGTTATTCCACTATAAAGAATAAGTTTTCCTTCATGGGGCAAAGTATATGTTTTTACAAGTCAAAAATATGCAGCCTATCAAAAACTGAAAATTTTTAACTAAGCAAAGTTGTTCAAAAAAAGGTTATTACAATAAAATATACGATTGATAAACCCCTGTGAATGGGGTGATTAATGTTGTTTCTAAATGTTTTAATATTTAATTGTAAAACATATTCTCAATAACATTTTGTTCAAATGACCCGCTTGGACTTCTTGCTTGTTTTCTACATAGGCCAGAGGCTTTTCCCAAAAGAGTAAAAACATTAATTACTTTATGAGTTTTGTAATCAAGTATTCTCTAATAAGTTTTGTAGCTTTGAATAAAATTTATTCTGTTTACGTCGTAACTGCAAGCATATAATATAAAGACAAAATTTTAAGGTTAATTTTAAATCAGGGAAATAAATAGACAACCAATTATTATCAAAATGAAATTATTATTTGCTGGTTTTACTGTGCTCTTGTGTACATGAGCTTATTTATTATTTAACTTGTTTTTGATTCAAATATTGCTATTATAGGTATTGTAGACATGCTAGGGTTTTTAATTGTGCATGATATTAACAATACATTCATAATTGTAAATCATCTATATTATTTTGTCCTTTTTTACATAGGTAATTGAAATATTGTAATCAGTATTGATTTTTATTTTCTTGTTTTAACTCATCTAATGACTTAATAGACAGAACTAATTTTGCTAAAGAAATTTTGTCTCCTCCATTCAGTAGTGTTCTAGTATTATGCAAGTTTGAGAAATGTTATTCTGTACCTTAATCTGTACCTTAATCACCTGCTATTAGGCGGCCAGTATACATATACTAGGCGATGTCGGATGCATGGCTGTTACATTCCGTCTGGACTGTAATACTAAGCCTGCAAGACCCAACATTGTAGGCTTAGTATAACAATCTTTTTAACACCCTTTGGGTCCAGACTAATAAAATGATAAATATTGTTGCCATTATATACATATTATATTATATTATATTTTTCAGAGTAATCAAATTCGAAACTTAAGCTTAAATACATAAATAATGATATAATGTTATTGCAGTTTTTTAAAATATCAGTAAATAAAGCTTCTTGTTTTATTTGCAATTATCCCAAATTGAATCCGATTTATGGGCAGCAACGTTTTTGCCTACCGATCGACTAACATGTTTCAAATATAAGCAAGCTCTAACTAATTTTTAATATCTTTATCTTACGAGGAAACTGAAAAATTATTAAATATAGATAGTTAAAAATGCAAACTGTTAGCAAAATAACACACACTTACTCCTTTCACACACACACACACTCACACATATACTACACACTGGCATCTACATATTAATTTTAGACTTACTTCTTAACTTGTAATATTGGTTTATGATTAACAAATCTCCAATATTAAATGAACATTTTGCATATTATATTTTATTGTTTTAAGAAAATAAAATATTAACTGAGTCACTACTCACTAAGTTTCAATTATTTCTATGTGAAATATAGAATAAGTTCTT